CCTATATCTTAAGCTGTTATCTATCATTTCAAACTACAAAAAAAGATAATGTATAATTTCTCCAGTTTTCAGTAATCAGGAATAAAAAAAATTAATCAATATTGCCTGGAGTAAAGCATTTCAGGAACAAGAGGTATGTTTTTAAATAACTAACACATTCTTACAAAAAGTTATTCAGCCAGAATATAAAATTAAAACTAAGCAAGAGGAAACTATTATAATTTATTTAGTTCTTTCTATACCTTCCAAGGTAATGGAAGAGGATTCTTATAATTCAAACTAGCAAATATTTTAAATGTATTGGCAAAACTAATATGTAGTAAATTGGCAATGATTCTGAATAAATTCCCCAAATCAATATTTTCTTTAGGTACATAACTTTTAAACATTAAAAAAAGTAACTTTTACAWGCCTTAAACCTCATTTAAAACTACATTTAAATATTTTTAAAACTTTTGGTTGTGATCAAAAGTTTCATCTGTGAATTCATCATTGAAGGTGATGTGAAAAACAGTAATTAAATGGGTGATTGATACAACTGAAGGTATGACTCATAGTTTGCTAAGGAAAATGATTTGGGGGAAAAAGGCTCAGGAAGAAAAAAAGCAAATAATGGATTCTGGATGAGATGAAGACCTTTCCTGTCCAAGGGCTGTCACCAGTTCTTTATTACTTGAAGATTAAGGGAATAGCGAATAAAGCTGTCTGCCAGACAGCCAAAAATGTAAGAATAACATTGTCTCTAAGTGCATCTCACTTGAAAGTTTTCAAAAACCATATTCATAAAATTAAACTTTCTATAAAAAGTTACGAGAAAACCCATCTTGAATCAGAACAATGGAAATGTCAAAAAAAATTACATCTGTCACGAATTTGAACAGAATAAAACAGCACTGTAGGTCAAATTGTAGAATCATCTAATTTTACTTCACTGGGTTTTAGAAAACAAACAGATACAATAAAGAGTTCTCAGGAGATTTAGTAGGGTTTCTTTTTGTTGGTTTGGGGGGTTTTTTTTKTTTGTTTGTTTGTTTGTTTTTCCACTAGCTAACACAAAATAAATATTTAGTTTTGCTACTAGGGTTTAGTAAATAGATACAATGTGTTTTGGTTTTTGAGATTCCAGAAGTGAAATTAAGGCTACAGATATGATAGTCCCCTACTCTCACGTGCGTTTGGATGTCTGCAAACTAACTCATATATATTTGAACATACTTCTTAAAAATTTACACTTGTGGGGTTTGATTGCTATTTCTGCATTATCACTCTCTAAAGAAAATGAAGAGAATTTCATTTGATAGTTGAATTCAACAGAACATTTTACCCAATTTTTAAATTTACATTTTATGTATATGTATTTTAGAGCCCCTACTATGTAAAAGCATTAAGCTAGACACTTTACACAAATAAACTCATTTAATAATGTGTGATGAGGCTGGGATTGTGGCTCAACGGTAGAGTGCTCGACTAGCACGGGCGGGACCCAGGTTCGATTCTCAGCACCACATAAAAATAAAAGCACTGTGTTGTGTCCATCTACAAAAAAAGAGATTCATTCTCTCTTTCTCTTTCTCTCTCTCTCTCTCTCTCTCTCTCTCTCTCTCAAAAAAAATGTGTGATTTATTGTTATGTATATACTTTGTGAGGTTAGGAAAAGAATATTTTGATGATGAAGCAAACCTACTTTCTGTCACTGATGACTTGTATATGAGCAACATCTAGTCAACCTAGTACATCTTACCTTATGTATATATTTTAGAACTTAGTTAATTAAAACTGCATGATCCAGGGCTGGGGTTGTGGCTCAGCTGTAGAGCACTCACCTAGTACAAGGCATTGGGTTTGATCCTCAGCACCACATAAAAATAAATAAGAAAAATAAAGGTATTGTGTCCACCTACAACTAAAAAAAATATTTTAAAAAACTGCATGAATGATGGTGGAATGAGTTAGACATCATTACCCTAAGTACATGTATGAAGACACAAATGGTGAAAATATTTTGTGTAAAATCAGTGACTTGAAACATTGTGCTCTATATGTGTAATATGAAACGAACTGCATTCTACCACCATGTATAACAAATTACAATAAATAAATAATTTAATTTAAAAAAACTGTATGATCCGACTCAAAGACTCAAAAACAGACAAAAACTTAAGGGTTCTGTGTGACTGTGTATTTTTGCACATGTATAGATTTGGAACAAATCAGTCCAGTTAAAGAATCTTTACTCTTAATCTACACTAAACTTATATGTTCTCCTGTATGCTGGTAAAAAGAAGAAAGGTGTGACTTTTAAAATGAAAAAACAAAAAGTGACAGGAAAAAACAGCTTTTAGAATAAAGGATTCTATTTCTGAAGTTAGTACACTAAGAATATTGTCAGTATTAAGTTATAAGCAGATATTTAAAGAAAACTTGCTATGATAAATTTTTCATTTGTGAATGTACTTAATTATCAGAAAAGTTTATAGCTTTTTCTTTTTTGGATATTCTATCATCTAATATTTTTGTTATATGATAAAATAAAAACCTTATTAATCCTGCTAGCAATACTATAAGATAGGTAGGATGGTTAATTCTAACATCAACTTGCTTGGGACACAGTACCTGAAACTTTGAAGGTGATTTTGGAATGCAAGTAACATATAAATTGGTGGACCCTCTATAATGTGGGTAGTCTTCACCCAAACAGTGAAAAGACTTAATAGACCAAAGACTGACCCACACTGGAATAAGATGGGATTCTACCAGCATACTGCCTTTGGACTCCAACTTTAACTCTACTTCCCTGTGTCTCCAGTGTCCCAGCCTACCCCACAGATGAAGGAATCCACAATTACAAGAAACAATTCTTTAAAATCTCAACCTCAATCTTTTTCTCTCCCATGACCACAAACACACAATTAGTCATCCCTTATCTGTAGTGTCATTTTGTACAATTTCAGTTGACCATGGTAACCTCTGATTTCTTTCAGAAATAAACAACCACTGTGGTAATACATGCCTGCTAATTCCAGCCACTTGGGAGGCTGAGGCAGGAGGACTGCAAGTTTGAGGCCAGCCTCAGCAATTTRGCAAGACCCTATGTCAAGATAAACAATAAAAAGAATTGGGTATATAGTTCAGTGATAAAGCATTCCTGGGTTAAATCCTGAGTATCAAAAACAAAGAAAAAAAATTTTAAGGTGTGCAGCAATCCAAATAGTGTGATGAAAATTTCACAGCATTCCACCACCATTCTACTGTGTCTGCTCCGGACATGACTCACCCGGTTGTCCAGTGTATCTACGCTGTGTACACTCACCCTCTGTTGACTTTGGTTATTTGATCAATTGTCACCATGTTTCGTTGGTATATTTATTCAAGTAAACCTTGTTAAACTTAATAATAGCAACCAGAGTACTGATAATTTAGATATGCCAAAGAAAAGCCATAAGGTGCTTCCTTTAAGCAAAAAGGTAAAATGTTCCCAACTTAATAAGAAGTAAAAAAAAAAAAAATCAATTGCTGAGGTTAAACATAATATGTATAAAATTCGGTAGTATCCATCGTTGAAGTATTCACTGGGGATTGTAGAATGTGTCCTCTGTGGATAAAAGGGAACTACTGTCTACGTAAAAACTAACACAACACACACACACACACACACACACACACACACACACACATCTCTGCAGTTTGCACTCCAAGGGTTTATATTTTGGAAGTGTGGTCCCCAGTGTGGCAATGTTGAAAGGTGGTTCAACTTTTAAGAGGTGGGGCAGACAGAGAAAATATAAGTCTTTAAGGGCACTGCTCTCATAAGGAATAGATGCATTTCGTCCAAAAGGATTGCAATAAAAAGAACAAGAATGGCCTTTCCTCATGCTCTACCTTTCTGTCTCACAAGGTGATCTCTCCCTCCCACATGTGTTTCCCCCACAATGCCATTACCATGCTGCCAAATACCCAATGGAGACCTCACGAGAGCCAGTGCCAGCCTATTTGCACTTTCAGCCCCMAAAACTGTGAGATATATTAATCTCTTATTGATAAGAGATACCAGCCCCTGGGTATTTTGTTATAGTAGTAGAAAATGGAGTAGCACACATGCATGCAAACGTGCAAATACACACACACACACACACACACACACACACTCACTCACACACTCTCCCTCGACTGGTTTTGTCTCTCTGAAGATACCTGACTAATACAGGAGGCAACGGGAAAACTAAGGTTAAGAAAATCAGTTTGTGCCAACATTCCTTTTAAACTATGATCTGACAAAAAAAAAATCCTAAAAAAATCAATTCTGGGAAATTATCTGGTGGATCCTCAAAGAATTAAGCATGGAAAAATTTTGACCCTACACATATACTGAAGAGAATTAAAAAGATATGTCCACACGAAATCTTGTACACAAATGCTTGTAACAATCACATTCACAACAGTTACCAACTGGTAAAAAATATCAATGCCCATCAACTGATAAATGAATAAAGAAAATAAGACATATCCATGCAATGGAATGATTCAGCCATAAAAAAAAAGTAGGGTTGAGATGTAGTCCAGTGGTAGAGATGTTGCCTAGTATGTACAAGACTTTGTATTTGATAATTAGCACCAGCCCCTTTCCCCCCCTCGCAAAAACAAAAGGAGGAACAAAGTACGTAATCCTATAAAAGGGGCAAAACGTCCTTCAAAATCTGAGCAAAAGAGGGCAAATACAAAAGGCCAAATATTATATGAATCCATTTCTATAAAATGTCAGAATAAGCAAATCCATGAAGACAAAAAAATAGACTAATGGTTGTCAAGGACGGGGATGGAATGTCAATGAGTATGAGGTTTCCTACTGGAGTGATGAGACTCTTCCTGAATTAGATAGTAGTGATGACGATACAGCCTCATATGAATATACTATAAACCASTAAATTATACACTTTAAAATGAYTAGTATTACAACTGGTGGAATTATCTCATTAAAAAAAAAGGTTAAAAAATCTACTCACCTGCCCTTTTTCTGGTGCCAAGCAATGAACAACTTCATCCACCATTACTGGAATATGTAATTTGGCCATGGCTTCAGAATCTATATCTTCAGATCTCTGTAACTCCTGATCTCCAGTTAGATCTGTTTGCTCCTGGGTTTCATTTTCATTATATCTTTCTGCTGTAGTATGAATTTTTTTTGGCCAAACACCTAAATTATGTATGCCAGATTTCAACCAGCATGGAAAATATTCTCTAAATATTCTACAAAAATATGGGTATTGAAGCATTCTGTAGTTCAACAAGTCTAGAAAAGAAATTTAAAATGATAATTGTTGGATTTTTAAGAAGAATGTTATACTATGGAAAAGCAAATTAATATGAACTATTTAATACACCAAAAAAAAGTAAGAGTCATTATGTGAATAAGGTGACTAACCTCCTTATATGAAACAAGGACTCTAAGAGAATGCAGAATCATAATTCAAATATAATTTTTAATGTTGCCTGATAAGTTCTAAGACCATTAGTGTTTTAACCATGAGGATATGAAAAGTAGTTATTCAGTAATCATTTTTTTCGTTTTTGAACTTTAATTGGTTCTAAAGAGTGGATTTGATGAGTCAAAATTATTTATGGATGACTGAGGGATTATGACTATCCTAGTTTATGTTAAGGTGATCTTTTATTTCAAGATCTTTTATTTGTTTTTTTCCATATTGTTAAATTTTCATGTTTAATTTACCTTTGTAGGAGTGACTATCCCTGAAAAAAGGCCAGACATGTAAATCAAAAAAAAAAAGATGATCAGCCTCTGAAAATACTGCGTATTTCTCTTGGACAATCTCTGAAGAAATTATCTCACCACAGCTTGTATCAGTGGAGTATATAGATCCATTTAAACTACAACTAAACTCAATTGAACACATCTTGGCATTTCATAGCCCCCTTTTTTTGTGTGTTTGGGTTTTTTGATACTTGGGATTGAACCCAGGGCCTACTCATGCTAAGCATACACACTCTACCTCTATGCTTCAGCCCTAGACCCCAACATTCTAATTGTCCTTGTGCCCCAAAATCAAGTAATTAAATAATTGACAAGTTTCTTGAATTTCTTATATGTGTTCTATTTTCTTCTGCAATTTTAATTCTTTTAAATGCAGAGGGGGAAAWTGTTATTTGTGTAAACATTAACAGAAGACMTTTTGAAAACACTGTTTTATGCAACAGGCTTCAATTGATGTTTTTAATACAACCATAATAAATATCTAGTTAATCATACTCTTCTTTCCTTATAGATTGAGTGATTTAAGAATAAGACCTATACCCTTGTATCCACAGAAATCTGGTGTACACTATGTACTTAATAAGTATTCCTAGGGAAAAAAAAATGATTGGATAGATAAATTCCAAACTCTACAGAATAAACATTTTTATCTATCCTAGCTTTAGGAAATTTCACCTGATTGACTCCACCAAAAAACATATGGTCTCAAAATTACACTTAAATATATCTTACTTTCCTTTTGCAATAGAAAATRAAGAATTAATCACATGTATTGACTAAAACTGTGGAACACAAATATCTGACATTATACATATGTAACATGAATGAGATGTTACCTTAAAGTCAATTTTTTTATCATCCCCAGAATTATGTGGTAATGTGACATAGAAAAAAATGTAGCCACAAAAAGATAAATTACAAATGAGATTTTTAAATAAATTTCTGGATATTACCCATCAACAAACTGGCCAAATTGTTAATTATGTATACAAAGCAATTCTAACTACTCTTTAACTTACTGTATCTAAAATTTTTCAAAATAATACCTAACATTTATTTAGCACTACGTACTACTTACTTTAATAACACTACATGATCTAACTCATTTAATTCTTCATATAACTCTTGGAGTTAGATATTATTCGTCCCATTTTACAGATGAGGAAAATGGAGAAGCTAAATAATTTGTCAAAGTTCACATAGCTAGAGAGATATAATATAGGCAGTCTATCCCCAGAGTCTAAAGTCTTAATCCCCATGCCATAAATTTCACCCACAGGAACTATTTAATGCACTCATGTAATTTAATGATACTTTATGTTGACTATGTATGTGTAGTATCTCATGAATTCAATTTTCTTGCTTCAGATGGAAATAAGAATGGGGTAGCTAATAGAAAACATATTGCAATAGGCCTAAACAGTGGAATCTGGAATATTTAACAGAATTACACTCTATGTCCTGATTTTGAAAATTGTTTTTAAAGGAAGCATCATTTCTAACATAGGAATCTGAACTATGTGGGAAAAAACAAGTACAAGAATAGAGTTTTTAAAAATGCTATAGCCAGCATATGATTCTTTTCTACTGTATTCAGTTCCTATATATTTATTCATTGTTCAAGGCACAAAGCCTTAAAATTTAACCATGAATTGATTGCCTACTAACTTGGTCAACATGGAGAAAGGGCTACCAATGACTCATTTTCTTCTTTGGTTGTTTCCTAGAATACTTTCTTTTAAATGTAAGAGGGAAAGCTGTAACAGGAGTTCATTTTCTGTAACAGTATCCTACTAGACTATCCAGAGTCCTCCTGTGTTCGTCTAAGAACCCACCACTTGTAACTGATGTGATACAGCAATCTGTATACRGGGTAAAAATGGGAGTTCATAACCCACTTGAATCAAACTGTGAAATATGATACATTAAGAACTGTGTAATGTTTTGAACTACCAATAAAATAAAAAAAAAAAAAAGATTGTTTTAAGTTTCCTGTGGTCAGAGAACCAAGCCCAATTAGTAAACCTAGACCCAGGAGCAAACTGTATGATGTCCACAGCAAATTCATTGAGCTTTTCTCTACCGCAAACTTCAGTTTAGTAATTAAGGACACAAAATTAGCGAGGTGAGTCTTTTAATTGTGGGAACCAAAAAAAAAAAAAAAAAAAGTGATGCCTGTAAAGACTACTTCCTCGCGGTGTTAACAATTACCATCATTAATCAGTTTTCCTCTGCACGGARATCCTGTTTCAAAAGGCAATGCTTAATGCAAAAAACGCGATTTGGAGGGTGGCACCCGAACGCTGAGAAAGTGAAAGAGGTTCTAAAGAAATGGAAGAATACACCCTTTTGCCCAAGAATTACTCTGACAAGAGAAAATTGCTGGGAAAACCCAGGAGGAACGCRTGCTGAGGAGGGGCGTGGATTCTGTGCCCAGGGAATCAAGCGACCTCCTAGGAGTTCCCCTAAGGCACAGTGCTTTCCAAAAGAGCACYGGTAACTCGGCCACCTTCTCCTCACCTGAGGCACGAAGATTTCTCAGTCGGCCTCTAACTTGGGCCAGTGACGACCACTATGGTGCCGGAGAACCTGAGAGGGCTACACGTCTAGTTCCCAGCCCTGGGGGAATCTTGCAAGAACGGACAAATTGAGCCCAGGTCCGCCCCAGCAACAGAGGACCGTCCGCCTTTCGTTCCGTTGCTTCCAGCCCCAGCTGTGAAAGAGTCTTGCAGGCGCTGAAGTTTCCCAAGGACCTTCCTGGGGGGAATAGATAAGACCTCACCATTGCYATGTTTAAATTCGCTTTTACATCTTTTTTTTTTTTTTAATGTCTGAGGCAACTTTAAATCTAACTTTCCATTTTCTCCTTTACTCTTTGATTTACTATGAAAATAAATTAGTGGTCCAATAACATGACTGTAAATTATAAAGTACTCCAATTTCTAACAAAATGTGGGAACTTATGTTTCCTTATCTCTACACGGTTGGAAAGTCTGGATTCTATTTTCCTTCATTTCATTACAAAATACCCATTTTTTTCCCTATGTTATACCTCCTTAATATCTTGCCAAACTTAAGAMTAGCCAGCTGGCACAGTATGGCATTGATTGTAATGTCAAAATCAGTCTGCTTTAATCAAATATAAGATTCCTCAAGAATACAGTCTACATCTCAACACTGCTATATGGCAAGTGTAGCTGAACTGAAGTTTAATGAAAAATAAATACTTGAATGAGGTGTGGAAACAGCTGTAAAACTGATAAGCCAACACAATGTGCATGTCAAAACTGATGAAATTTAAAAATACTTACATTTACTTATTCACCAAAAATAAATGCAATTTTATAAGAATATGGTAAGAAATGCATATTTTCAGATTAGGATATCATCTTACTGTTACTTAACCTAAAAAGTATTTCAGCAACAAATGATTCTGAGTTGGCTTGTTTGTAGAATTCAAGTATTTTACTTTATGGGTATTCTGAAACTTCTGTTTTCTCTTGGTAAAATGAAAGTAATGATATATACATTGCATGGGCTGTTTTTATAATTAAATGAGATAAGAAAATACATAAAGTGACTAATAAAATACTTGAAATGTCAAAGGTAAAGTACCATACAATAAGGACATATTTAAAATAAAATAAAAAGGTTTCTCAAATTTATTGCCAAACCCAGCTTCAAATAACTTCCATTAGCTAAAATGCATATAATAGCGAGAAATAAATAGTAGCTTTATTGTTCAGAGACAATCATATAACATGCATCACATATAATACACAATGCCTCTGATTTTCTTCAGCCTACTGAAGAACCATRGGGTCCGTAATCCGTTGAGATTCCCATACATTGTTTCACTATAATTGTCTGCATTGTCGCATCCAATTTATATACAGTGATACTGGATCACTAGAATATGAACTCCAAGAAGGTAGGGATTTTGACCCTACTGTGTACTACTGTGTCCCTAAAATCTACAATCAATATTTGCTGAAAGGATACAATAACAGTAATATGAAGAACAATAAAATTCAAATGACTCAGTAACTCAGTGGCAGAGGGCTTGCCTAGCATGCATGAGGCTCGGAGGTTCAATCCCCAGCACTGCAAAAAYACAATAAAATTTAAATTTAAATATCTTTACAAAGGAAGACGAGTTATCTCAGCAAAAATATTTCTCATTCTTTTCCAAGTACTTTTTGTCTTTTTCAAGTGTACATTCTGAAATAATACCTACAATCTTAAGACTTAAAAATTATCACTTCATCCAATAACAAACTAAGCCAATAGCTTTAAATAAATTTATTTCGTAATGTCATCATTAAAAGAATGTAAAAAGCAAGCAAACATCAAATAGCTTCAACCAGGTAGTAGGCCCGGGAGTACTGAGAAATGAAGCCATGGCCCTCTAAACATGGGACCTGGATTTCTAATTAATTCGGGGGGAAAAGGCCCCCAGAGGCACGAGCCCTGCCTCACTAATCAGAGAGGGAAAAGGAAGAAAATAAATATCCAAAACCCATTAATCCACACCCAACAGGTTCCGCCTCTCCACTTAGCACAGGGCATACGCCAACCCCTGCCGGTAAAATGTCTCACTCACACCCTGAACTCTGAGACCGGGCCCTGCTCCTGCGGATCTGTTGGCCGAGTGAAGATCCCAGGTGGCTGTCTCCCACCTGCACCTCCGGTCTAGCCCCGCCCACCTCGGCCACCGCCTCCGGAAACCGCCCCGCGCGTTGCCACCGCGACGCACAGAAAAGCCGCTTCCACCCCGCCGCGCCTCTGAGCCTCCAGGCGCCAAGAGGCAGCGTGCCGTGGCAACGTCAGACGTAGTGACGTCACGAGGACGGCAGCCAATGAAAAGAGCCGCTGAAGGAGCTGGCTTGGTTTTGAATCTTGTGGTGGAGTTTGAAGCGCCAGGAGGCGGACATTGAAGTGAAGTAGTCGCGGTAAACTCTTCCGGGCCTGAGGTGAGTAAGAAGCACTAGAGGAGAAAACTGTGATCTCTCTGACGCTGATTTTGATAATCTGTCTTACTGGGAGCGGGTGTCCGGCCGCCGCCTCAGGTCTAGAGGATCAGATGGTCTTGTTGACAAACAGAAGCGTTAAGGGGGTGGGGGTGGGGGAGTGCCAGTCCCTGGGGAGAAAGTGAAAGCCGGAAAGAACTCCAGTACTAACCAAGACCATTGGTTAGCCTGACTTCTCTGCAGGAAGGGCAGCGATCTTCTGCCTTCAGTTTTGACAGGAAGTTTTCTAGGGTATCTTGGCTTCATTCCCAGACTTTGGCATAGGACTGTAACTGTCCAGCACCTTGCAGTGTGAGGTTCCTGGATTCCAAATTTGGAGTGTTTTATTTCAGATGCATATGTAAGTGTGTCTCTGGGCTTAACTATCTAATGAGGAGTTTTCGTTCATGACCGCATAAAGTTTTTGGCTGGCGAGGTTCAGCTATTAGCTTTGTGCTACTGCTCCATTGGGAGCCAGCTCCTAGCCCCAGTCGTAGCTTCAAGGTAAAACTTGTCCTGACTACCTAACGGACTTTCAGAGTTACCCTGGCAAAGTGCTCTGCAAATGAGAGTGCCTGTGAGCGCTGAGCATCAGTCCTATGGTTTCTCCTTTAGCTAATTCAAGACTTCAGGAGTTAATTAACCCCTTTGTTACAAAGAAACCAAAACAGGCTGCTGCACTTTAACTTGAACTACTCTTGTGAAAAAGAAATGATCTGATGAGAACTAATTTTGTTCCGTAGTTTACAACTTAAACTATGGAATAATTGGGTAAAAAGTGTTAAATACTCAACAGGTTCTAGCTGTTGGTGTCATTTCACTGAAGACAGCCTGTGACCTTGGTTTTGGGAGGTTTTCATGAATTTTGGAGCTATAGGATATGAAGTTCAAAGACTAGATTGTTACTGAGTTTATATTATTTTGTAAGAACTGTCCCTTTCAGTAGAAAAGAGTATCTGCTTTTAACAGTGATCAATCTCTTGTGTTATTGAAAAGTATTTACAAGCACATAAAATTTTCATTTTAAAATTACATCTTGTCCTACTATAGATATACCTCAAATCAATAAAATGGATTTTCTCCTGTTAACTCTGACAACTAAAATTTTTTTAAAAAAAGCCCATCTGTCAGTGATGCCCTTCCCTTCACTAGAATTTTTCATTCTTTCCTGATTGATGCATCAGTTAGTGGGAGTTAATGAAGTTAGTGGAAACAGTGGCTCCAATAATAAGATTATTCAAAGAGTAGGTCAAGTTAAACACTATAAATGAGGATAGTTCCCAGTCCTAAGAAATTCTTGTCAAATCGGAATAGAATTCATATTTGAGTTTACTGATTTTTTTCTTAGAAACACATGACCTTAACAAACAAAAGATCAGTATCTGTCTTCAAATTTAATAACAAGTTGTGAATAACATAATTCACATATGTCTATTTTGGTGCCATTGTTTGGAAGCTTTCTCTTCAGATTCTAGTAGAGCACAGTTGTAAAAACATGGCCTTTGGATTTGAATCCACTTAATGGCTCCCCACTGACTAGCTATATCATTTGAGAAAATTACTTATCCCAAGACTGTCCCTGTGTTTGTAAAATAGTAATAGAACCTACTTTATATGATTATTATAAGAATTGAAAGAGATGATGAATATCAAATGTTTACCATAACACTTGATACATAGAGTAAACTCAGATGATAATCATCATTGCTCATTATCACTAGTTATCACGATACAGACTTAATCCAAGCTTTTTTGATAACATGTTTTCTGAGAGTTGCTACTGTGTGATGTGGGGCAGGTACAGCAAAATCATCATCAGTTATGTTTCAACATGCATTTGAGAACTCTTTTACTAAGACTTGAGATCTTCTAATGTAGGCAACTAGAGTACAACAAGGAGTTGAGGGACGAAGGAAATGAAGAGATATTGGTCCAGATGTACAAACTTTAAGTTATAAAATAAACTAGTTCATGGGATCTAATGTACACCATGGGTAGTGATAGATCTATTATTTCATGGTAATCATTATACAATGAATATATCAAATATTTACGTTGTATACCTTGAATATATACAATCTTTATTATCAATTATATCTTTTTTAAAGTAAGCAAATATGTATATATTTTTAATTTCTATGGGAAAATCTCTGAGGATCTCTGTTCTGAACCGATTACATTGCTTTTTGAATTGTGTGTATATTTTATGTAGTTAGTCGATTAATTCATTTGTTTGTCATTCATTTGAGAACTTACTGTACCAGACTCTCTACAAAAGACTAGGGATATCAAGTAAAAACAGTTACATTAGCTGTTATTTCTTATTATTCTCTTGTACCCTTTTCTAGTCATATGCAATAGCCATAAAATTTTGGAGCTAGGAAAGGACCTTAGATATATAATCTAACCTTTTTGTTTTATATATTAGCATCTCAAGTTCCTTCATTAGTCTTTATACCATACTTTCCCTAGACATGATAACTATCCTTCTATTCAAATTGACAGTGAACCAGGTATAGCACACATATGTAATCCCAGCAACTTGGAAGAATGGGGAAGAAGTATCACAAGCTTGAGATTAACCTCAGGAATTTAATGAAATCCTGTCTCAAAATAAAAGAGACTGTAGATATAGCTTAAGAGTAAAGTGCCCCTGGGTTCAATCCCCAGTACCAATAAATAAAATGGGATTGAAGATATTTATCCTTTATATTGTAGTCCTACCAATGAAATCCTACCAGTTTGCTCTTTTGATTCTACTTAAAAAAATAGCACTTAGGAGTAGATACGACAAAATAAATCAGAGATTGCAATACTATTTTTATAACACTTGTCTGAATATCATTTGTAAATCATCAGATTATTGTATGGATAATATTTAGGCTTTTTATTTTACTGCTTCATATTAAACATACTCAAGGAATTTACTCTCTGCACTGATTCAGAATCAACTAACTGTCCATCTCTTTTAGTCAACCATGTTACAAAGAAAGCAAGCATCTTGTTTTAATGTAGGACCCATCTCATTACTCCCTGAAGATATATATCTAAACTTTTCAAATTATTATTATCACTATTATTATTATTATTATTTTGAAACTGGTCTCCTTATGTTTCCCAGGTTAGCCTCCAAATCTTGTTCTCAAGAGAGCTAACCGCCTCAGCCTCCCCATTAGCTGGAACTATAGGCACATGCCACAGTACTAGGCTTTAATTTTGTTACTTTTTTGATGATTCTGTTGACTTTAGGCGTCATTATTAAGAAAATTGAGGCTGCAGTTGTAGCCCAGTGATAGAGTACATGCTTAGCATGTGAGTTCCCTGTTCAATCCTAGCACCAAAAAAAAAAGTTATGCTTACTGATTTTTTTCTTAGAAACACATGACCTTAACAAACAAAAGATCAGTATCTGTCTTCAAATTTAATAACAAGTTGTGAAACAAAGTTAGGTTTAACATTATACTTCTTAAACTCCTTTATGTGGTTGTCCTGAAATACCTATTACCTTATAAAATGCCTTAGATAATTCTCAGTTAACCTCAAACTCAAATCTAAACTCTTAAGCCTTAGATTCCAGATTCTAAAACTGGCCCCACTCTTATCCAGTTTTGTTCTTCTAATGCAGTCCTCTCCCTTCCACAGCACTCTCCAGCTGCAGTAAAAGAAAACAGAGATTCCCTTGAACATTTCGTTAGAAGTCTACTCACTCATTCTAACTATCTCAGACCCTAGTAAACTGCCTAGCACATACCTGTCAATAAATATTTACTAAATGCAAAACTAGTTTTCCTTCCTGAAATATGTTTATCTGGCTAATAACTATCCATCCTTCAGCTCTCAGTTCCAGTCACATTCTCCAGGAAGATTTCTAACTATACTCATCCCCCATTGTAGGCTTTTATAGCACTTGTCAACACTTCACGTTTGTGTCAGTCCTATATTAATATGTTTCCCTTACTACACTGTGAATTAAAAAAAAAATAGCAATAGTAACAAACACTTGTAGCAAATTCTTGTGCCTAGAATTATGCTAAATGTTTAATCCTTATCTAGTTCTTACCACAAGTCTTTGAGGAAATAGGTACTATTATTAGACCCACTTTACAGATGAGGAAACTGAGCCACAAGGAAGTTTAATAACCTGCCATTGTCATAGCCAGTAAGTAATAAAGCTGGGTTTTAACCAAAGATGTTTGGGCCTAACATCTAATAGTTAAACTCTTTAAAAAATTAATTGGCAAGGTTGTCTCACCTTCTAATCTTGCAGTTCTAAAGCTTTGTTTTGAAATAATCACATATTTGATGTCCTTTTAGCCCATTTTTGTGTATTTTATCAAAAGTGTGTATGTTAAAGCCAAAAACATTGTTGAATATTTCAGAAATATTTTGGCAATATATATATGGGGAGATAGTTTTGGGTATCACAAAGAATGCAGGAGACTACTAGCCTGTAATGGGCAGGGAACAGAAATACTAAACATTCTCTAATACATGGAACAGTTCTAAAGAAAGAATCATCCTACCCAAAATGCTGTTCATATAACCACACTGGGAAACGTTAAAGGATGAACTCACTATGGGAAGAAGAGGCAGAACTAGGGATAGGTAGAGAAGAAAAATTGATATTTAGTACATACTTTAATTCACTTAGTATTTATTGTCTTTTTTAGCATTCACAAAAATCCTATGAAGTAGTATTATCTCTTATATTCAAGGTAACCTGAGACTTAGGGTTACTAACTTATACAAGGTAATGAGAAGTATAGGTTCTTTGC